TATTCCTGCCCAGCAAGCATGTGCATATGCACAGATGCAAATATGTACAGTTTCTGTGCAGTAGTTTTTAAGCAAAGCATATTTAGTGCTTTCACTAAAGAAATTCTCACACTTTTTGTTCTCTTATCACACCTCAGTTTAGTTGCTTCATTCCTTTGTCTTCTTAATATCTTACTACTGTTTAGGTTCTTATTATTGTTTCTGTATGTCATATTGGATCTAGTATTTTATTTTCCCCTTTGATTCTCTTTTAAACATTTCCCTAAGGAAGCAGACTATGACAAAAAACTGTGATTCTCCACAACTTAATATCACAGGCAATCAGCATAATAGAATTAGTTAAACTAAATGTATCAGGACCATCTGGCAAATCTCAAAGTAACACCATTTTATATGTATTAAATAACATTATATCCTCTGATTTGATATTTTACAGCATCTGCTCAATGCACTACCTCAAATTTTCCCTTGTTCCTTCAAGAAAATCAGGACGAGGGAAATTCACAACAGAAAAACATGTCTCTGAAAGCTGAATTAAACTGTTTGAGAATTCCTGTCCTTCTCCTTTAGTGAGTATGTCAGGCATTACTATCACCATACCAAACTACTAGGTTTTTTAAGCCTAAAGAGATGAACTAGAGTGATTAAATATTCCTTGGTAAGTAAAGCTAGCAGGTCTGTAGTTTTCTGGGTCTTCTTTTGGGCCCTCTTTCAGTCACAAAGGATGTCCCCTCATCTCCAGAACTTTTCAAATATTACAGGCAGTAGCCTTGTGAAAATGTCAGCCACTTCTTCTAAACCTTAGGGTGGATTGTGTCCAGGCCCATAGATTTTTGTGGTTTGAGCTGTTTCTCCACTACTGGTGGGTTGACACATGCATTGTCATAGCTACCTTACCAGCATTTTCAGATTAGCAACAATTTTGGGGTTTTAGTATCCATAGAAAGGACAGAACTAGAAAAATACTAGGTGTTTCCCTCTTTTACTGGTCTCAGTGTAGATGAAAGTAATTTAAGGAGGTGGTTAATCACTGTGTCAGCTATATATTTTTCTAAATAAAATATAAATGGAAAGGGTAATGGGCTAAAATACTAAATGCAGAAGTTCAAACATTTATCAAACTTCCAGAATCTAAAAGAAACAATTCAGGACTGTCCTGGAAACAGCTATGTAGCCACTCTATCACTTTCCCCTTCCTCCCGCCAGCCCTCGGAGGGATGGGGTGGAGAATGGAAAGAATGTAACACTCATGGGTTGAGATAAGAACAGTCCAGTAACTAAGGTAGAACACAAACCACTACTGCTACCACCAGTATTAATAATGATAAGGGAAATAACAAGGGAAGAGAATACAACCGCTCACCACCCGCTGACCGATACCCAGCCCGACTGAGCAGGGATCTAGCCCTTCCCGGTAACTGCCCCCAGTTTAAATAGTGGGCATGACGTGCTGTGGTATGGAATACCTCTTTGGTTAGTTTGGGTCAGGTGTCCTGTCTCTGCTTCCTCCCGGCTTCCCCTCCTCCCTGGCAGAGCATAAGACTCTGAAAGTAAACATTACTGAGCAACAACTAAAAACGTCTGTGTTATCAGCGCTGTTCCCAGGCTGAAAGTCAAAAACACAGCACTGCACCAGCTACTAAGAAGGAGAAAAAATGACTGCTACTGCTGAACCCAGGACAAGGACATACATAACTCCATGTCTGAATGTGAAGCTCAGGGAAAGGGGTGAAATTTGCTTTGCACTTGGGATCTTTAATTGTTTAAGTATTCCAGAATTTTGAGTTTGAATAAGTTGTGCTTTACTTTGTTTCTCTCTGAAATTACCTACAAGGATGTTTAATAGAACACAAACTGAAGTGTTGTAAGGCATTCTGCAAACAAGCAAGCTACCTGAAAGCATAAAGCAAAGCTATAATCTTTCAAACCTCAGCTGTAATAGTATAAAAACATGATTATACTTCTGAATTTCTTGTTTAATCTAACCTTAACCCGTTATTAAAAAATGTTTTATAATAGAGATAAGTGATAATACCCACATACATTGTAAGGCTACTTGAATTTTAATAATACTTGCTTTTTTTAAGGTTCCTACAGTATTTTCAACTTACTGTAGTTTGATCTTGGCAATAAAAGTTTCATGAGAAAATTGGGCTGTTAAGCCTGGTTGAAGAGAAGGCTACATGGAGACCTCATAGCAGCCTTCCAATATCTGAAGGATGCCAGGGAGGGACTCTTCATCAGGGACTGTAGCAATAGGACAAGGGGGTAGTGGGTTTAAACTAAACAGGGAAGTTCAGGTTAGATATAATGAAGAAGTTATTTACTGTGAGGGTGATGAGGCACTGGAACAAGTTGTCCAAAGAAGTGGTAAATGCTCCATCCCTGTCAGTATTCAAGGCCAGGTTGGACAGAGCCTTGGGTGACATGGTTTTGTGTGAGGCACCCCTGTCCATGACAGAAGGTTTGGAACTAAATGACCTTACAGTCCTTTCCAATCCTAACTATTCTACAATTTCATGATTCTGTCAGGTAAAAGTGTAAGAAATGCATCTATTTGTCTTACGGAACAAATAAAAAATAAGAATTCTTTTTCCCTTTTAAATAATTATACCAAATGCAAGAAAGAAATTTATTATAAGCTTATTTTAAATGTTTCTTAAAAAAAAAAACAAACAAAAAAAATACAAGAACTGAAAACTTATGTAATTTTTGACAAAAAATAACTTATGGGTTTTACTGACAAAATTGTATTTCCGATACCATTACAAGTGTCAGCTACACACCTACAAAGTGTAATTATGTAAATACAGTACAGCAATATAACTTAACTAATTAATTTGGGGGCTGTGAAGCATAAAAAGTGATGAAATTATCATAGATACTTGCCAAATCTGGATTCAGTTGACATATGGGAGAGAAAACCTTGAAATATCTTTTATACTTAATTCAGGCAAGGCCAGGTTGGCTTTCAGGTGCACACAAATAAAATAAGTAGGTAAAAAACAAGGGAAACAATTATTGCATTGGAAAGCATACCACCAAAAGTGAAAGAAAAAAAAAAAACATTAAACTTGCACTTTTTAAAGTAGTAAGCACAGGTTTATGACTTTACATGATCTCCCAGCGTTTTGAAGCTGGTCACTGTTGGGGGAAGAATGCACAAACTATTTTTCTGAATAAAAGAATTTTGAAAATATATTTTAGGTGTCTTTCTTTAAAAGACTGATATTTTTATTCTAACTGCGTAGAACTAAACTAAAAAGAACCCGTTAGGTTGAAATTAACAAGAAAGTAAGCAATAACAAAGTTAAGAAAGGATATGTTATTAAAAGTCTTTGATAGCATCATGTAAAAGCTGTTAATTGGAATATACTGTGGTTTTATACCCTAACTTTATCTGGAAAGCAGGAATGATTTTTCCCAGGACTAAACCTAGTATCAAAGGGAACCACAAAACCTTTAAATTTCTGAATTAAGAAAGATGAAATAAAGAAACTTCTCAGATTGGTGTATGTATGTACATGAAAATTCATTAAAGTGTCTATGTGTAACAGAAAAAAGGGAGAGTCAATGATATGCTGTTACAGCAAAACAGTGCTGGGGTTTTGTTCCAGACAGAAATGTGATTAACTTGCATGAGAAAAAATGTAAAAGGCCAGTATCCAGAGGATATGTGCATGAGTGGATTTATTTTTTCTTCTATAATTTCACTTAGCATTTTTTTTTTCCACTTTAGCTGTTGCGATTTATATTGAAATGCAGAAATTGTTCTTTACTGTTTGAAGCCTTTTTGTGAGCCACTGGCACCATATACTTGAGTGGAAAGGCTTACATATGTTGAAGCCAGTTGGTCTCATTATGATAACAAAGATGAATGGGGAATAGGAAGGGAATGAAGAATTTTTATTTCAGAATGACTGAATATGCTTTTATACTGGGAGAGGTGAAGCACTGTCTTATGAAGGAATAGCATTTGAGATGAACTTATAGTTAACTTAAAGTCATTCTGAAAACATGACAAACACCAGTGGCAAAAGAGATTCAGAATGAGCTATATCTAAAAACTAGAAATGAAATAGAAGAAACTTCTTAGCAAGTATGTGAGTTTCCTCTGCATAATAAGATGACAGTTATTCTTAAGAGACCACCCTCATTATCTTTTTGGAATAGAGATTTTTTTTTTTTTAATGTCTATTTACATGCACATAAAACTCATCTTCAACTAATAATTAAGAAAGAACTATTTATATTTTTTTTTATACTTTTTAAAATGTTGGGAAAGATCTTCTTGGTCCTTCCACTCCCTCTGTTTTTTGACCTGATGATGTATTTTACCAATGTATCACTAGGACAACAGTGATCAAAGCTCTACAGATTATGCATTGATGGCAGACATCTTCATAGCACTTTTGTTCTAATCATGCAGCAATATAGTATTTCATCACATCGCACAGAAAAAAAAAAGCCATATTAAAAAAAAAAAGAATTACATCAAAGATCAGAGGAGGAATGAAGATTTTTTAGTATATTTTGTAAAAGTATATTTTACAGGTGAGCCTCAACTTTTAAATAGTTCATATTTTCTAAGATTTAAATTTAAAATAATGAATGAGGGAACAAAATTTTCTTGTTTGCCTAAGGTCAAAACCACAAACCTTCAAGTAGCAAGTACATATTATAATCCTTATAAAAATTTGCAAAATCAGACTACTGTTCCATTATTTCAGTAGATAAAATTTGATAGCTGCAAATAAGGAATTCATGTGTGTTTTCATGATCAAATACATCTCCATGCAGAAATAGGTAAACTTGTTGGTAATGAATTAAATTTCATTTAAGACAGCAGGTCAACGTACTACACATTTTTCCTAATACAACATATTAGGAAAACTCATTTCTCTTCCTAGTTCCAGTACACATTTCTGGTGTGATACTGAATAAGTGTTTTTTAGCAGACTGCATACACTGCGTTCTTGGAGAGCAGCGGAAGAGCGCGGCTAGCACGGTGGCGGCCTCTGTGTGGCGGGGATGGCGGCGCCGCGTTCCGGGGGGCGGCGGGGGCGGCCTCAGGCCATGCTGATGCGGCTGATGGCGGTGCTGCTCTTGGCGGGCGCGGCGGGCTCTGGGCAGCGTTCCAAATGGCGGCTGCCGGTGCTCATGGGGAAGAAGTTTAACTTTGGAAAGATTCTCTTCAGCAATACCACCATTTTCCTGAGATTTGAAAGGGATGAAAAAGCTAGTGATCCCTCCCAGAGTTACAATGTTACTTGGTACTTAAGATATTCTGATTGTTACAATGAAGTCTTCAACTTTGGGGATGAACGGGCAGAGTACTGTTTTGGGACTACATCTGGAGAGCATCCGGGTTGGTCAGGATACTATGCCACTTCTTCTCTCCTCTTTCAAAATTGCTCTGAGCTATTCAGACCTCAGATTTTCTACAGAGAATTTGTTCATCCAGAGCCTCTCTCACCTGAGAAACAAGAGGGCTTAAAAGATAAGAAGGAGAGTGGAGGAAATCACACAATGGTGGCAGATAAAACTGCAATGAATGCTGTTATCAAAACTTGGCGAGATGGGCCATATATATTTATTATGCAAATTGGAATTACAATGCAAAGTATTCTACTACCAGAAATAATAAAGCGGAGAAGAAAACGCTTTCCTCGTATCAAAATAAGCCTTTTACAATGACAGTAGAACTGAAGGGGCCATGCGAGTACCTCTCACTTGGCCATGCGAGTACCTCTCACTTGCAGATTATCCTCTGATGTTTTTTTTCATGGTGATGTGTATTGTGTACGTATTCTTCGGGGTTCTATGGCTTGTGTGGTCAGCCTGCTAGTGGCGGGATCTCCTGAGGTTCCAGTTCTGGATTGGTGCTGTTATATTCCTGGGAATGCTGGAGAAAGCAGTGTTCTTTGCAGAGTTCCAGAATATCCACTACACAGGAGAATCTGTACAAGGAACAGTAATACTGGCAGAACTGCTTTCTTCTGTGAAGCACTCATTGGTTCAGACTCTGGTCATCATAATCTGGGATATGGGATAGTCAAGCCTCGCCTTGGAGTTACTCTTCACAAAGTAGTCATGGCTAGAGACCTTTATCTATTATTTTCTGGAATGGAAGGTGTTCTCAGAGTCACAGGGGCCCTGAATGACCTTGCCTCCTTGGCTTTTATTCCCCTGTAAATTTTTTTTTTTTCAATTGCTTGAAAGAGTCCAGTGCAGAGCTACAAAGATGATTAAGGAAATGGAACATCTCTCTTATGAGGAGAGGCTGAGGGAGCTGGGACTCTTTAGCTTGGAGAAGAGGAGACTGAGGGGTGACCTCATCAATGTTTACAAATATGTAAAGGGTGAGTGTCAGGATGATGAAGCTAGGTTTTTTTCAGTGATGTCCAGTGATAGGACAAGGGGCAATGGGTGTAAACTGGAGCATAGGAGGTTCCATGTGAACATCAGGAAAAATTTCTTTACTGTGAGAGTGACAGAGCACTGGAACAGGTTGCCCAGGGGGGTTGTGGAGTCTCCTACGTTGGAGATATTCAAGGCCCACCTGGACAAGTTCCTGTGTGATGTACTCTAGGTTACCCTGCTCTTGCAGGAGGGTTGGACTAGATGATCTTTTGAGGTCCCTTCCAACCCTTAGGATTCTGTGATTCTGTGATTCTTATTTTCCAGGCTCTGTTAAACTACTCAACATCTGTCTGTGTGATATTGAGGTTAGAAGAGAAGTTAACTAGTCAACAGCTGTCTGTGTGATATTGAGTTTAGAAGAAAAGTTAACATTGAGAGAACAAGTAAAGGCCTGCTGGATCTGTACTTAACAATGAACAACATTGAAAGTGGCATTTTGTCTATCTCAAATATGGTCTCTCATAAGAGGAATAATTTGTGGGGATTTTTCAATGTGTAGCACGGGAACACTAATTAGGGGTTCTTTTCTGTTGTTCACCCCAACCAATTCAAATCTTAGGAAGCCTGAACTGTTTTTTTCAAGAGTCTGCCATGCTACATTCCCTGTCTGGAAAACTTCAGGTGATTTCTAGATAGGCTTAAGGTGTCTTTTTAAGGTCTGATATATTAGCAAACCTGTGAAGAAAAGCCTCTGTTAACAAATTTGGCCTTTTTCTGATTTTGATGCCTTATTTTTCTGATGCATTAGAGTGATGTTTGATGTGACAAGATAAGAATATTTTTTAAAAAAGCAAAACAATAAAACAATCACAAAAAAAGAAGCCTGAAATCATTACAGACTTCATAATTATGCAAAAGTATCAAAAAGACTTTATTATTGTTATGCATCTGATATAGTAAGCTGCTTTTCCACACTTTTTTTTCATTTCTGGAGGAAGGATGGGTTCCAAGAAAGGTTGTTCCACTTCAGTATTGAAAATCCTGATAGAACCCAAAGGTTGAACCTATTCAAAACACGAGTGTACCAAGAATATTTCCTTATACCACTTCCAGCCTATTTTTTTTCTGTGATTCTATTTTTATTCAATATATAACAGAAGACTGTTATGTTTACTGGGTATTATGTTCTGTATCACAAGGCTTACCTTCAAATTTTAAGTTGTAAAATACGCTTTCCACTTTTGCTTATCAAAGGACATGAGCTGCCCCTTGAAGCAGGGCTTTAGGGAAATTTGGCACATGGTCCTGAAAGCCACTTTGATAATATAATTTAAAATTAACTGACAGAACTGACAACTAAGACCATCTCTCTGCTGTGTTTCTTTATCTGTTAATGTATGTGAAATAGTTACAGGCTTTGTGTATGTATGTTGCAAAACTGTATATTACATCATTTAGTCTTGCAAGAAGGCCACAGTTTGTCCATAATTGAAGTAATATTTAAAAGCCTGTGAGATTCAGATGAGCATTGAATCTTATTCATAAGATAGTCAACTTCATTTAGTCACAAAGGAGAAGTAAGCTACTTCAGAGAATTTCCAGTGCACTCAAGAGAAGGAAGTGGAAGGCTATTCTGAGTTTTTTTGAGATAAAGAATTAAATCTTAATTAAAGAGTGTCCAGGACTTCATTGCTATCTCCATACCAGTGGCTACCCTAAAGAACATACAATCACTCTATGAAACAGGAGGTTGCAGGATGAACACTGGTCACAGAACAACTTGTCAGTTAACTACTTAAATTCAACAAAGCATTTCACTGAAAAATGTTGTAATGAAGCTTTTAATATACCCGATTGCTACAGTCTCTCCTGTCTCCTTATTAAACTCTATTCCTAGCTACTTTCTGTGTGAACTTACTTTCTATTCTGTTGGTGTGGGGGACAGTAAATGGTTCTCTATTAAACTTTAACCAAGAATAACAGGGGAGGAGATGGAGATCAGCATCTGGAAATACATAGCCTCTAGGCAGGAGACCAGATGAAATACCCATGCTCTGGTCATGGATACTGGATGGCCTTAAAGTCAGTGTTTGAAGGACCAGCAAGTGTGGATGGACATGTTACTTAGCAAGTGATGGTATGTTTAAGTTACTATAAGAAAGCTTCAGTAGCGGTTAGCCACTAGGAGGAAGAGGACTGGGCCATTTCTGTTGTACATGTCTATTTGGTGCTGTTTGTGTTTTTGTGGATGCCAGTAAAAGTGCTGTTTACCTCTGTTCAGCTGTTTGTGTTCCTCCGGGCCTGTTAGTTCTAGCAAGCCTTTTGGGAATGCATGCTCACACTCACTGCCATCAGGACCCACCTATAAGAATCACAACAGTCTCCCCTTTAGCCAGACAGGAAAGGAGGTATCTCCTGAGTCTTCAAGTCAAGACTAGGTTTTAATTTCCTTTTACAAATGCCAACTATTTCACATACAAAACAGAAAGAAAAGAAAAAAGGTTGTTTTGTGAAAGTTCTGCTACTGAGAAGATAGGCATCAATTATCAGCACATATTAAAAAATAACTACTTTGACAATATGTTGTTTTGTAAGGATCTCTTTGAGGTAATAGGCTTATGAGCTACATGAGTTTGGGTAAAAACTCTTTAGGTTCAGAATCATAAGGCTTCACTTACATGCAGAAAATAGGGTAGTGGAATTAAAAATAATGCAACTGCATCCACTCAGGGACTGAACTGTTCTTTAGATGTCCCTATGCTTTTCTTTCAAGTATAAAGCCAGATTTCTGGTATTGTATCCTTTGGGTGCTAAGCTTTAAAGGTCACCAATTTTGTCTTTCAGTCTGAATTTCACTATAAAGACAAAGCCAAAAAAAAACCCAGTGTTGCAGTAGTTGCCATTTTGATATGAAAATTGATGACTATATAACAAACATGAAAACTGAAATTGACAAACATGAAATTGAAAGGTGCTTTTTTATATTTATCTCTTTTAGCAGCTCATTGATCTTATTTGTCCATCTGTTATGAACTGATAGTACTAGTTATGACTTCTTATATTTTAGTATACCTATGAAGAGCTTCCACTGTGTAAATATGAAGTTCTGTAATGTAAAATTGTATATGTACACAAATAGGAGGGAACTATCTTCAAGAATCCAGACTGGTAGAACAAAAACAATGCAACTAGATAAAGAACAAAAATATTCTTACCATAACCTACTATTTTTGCACATACAAACAAGAAAATTAGTCCATTATTGAACGTATAGCTTATAGAATAAGAAAGTTCAGCATCTGTGGCTTCAGAATTAATAGACCAGAATGGAACATAAGGTCGAGATTATAAATAACAATTGAGAAAGACAGTCACAAAAAAAAGGTCAATGATTAAAATGAAATAAAAGTTATCTACATAGTGTATAGGCAGTTAAGGGGAAAAAAGAGAAAGAATCAGGATAAACAAAAGCTGTTAATAATAAATTTTAGGGTGAGACCACATTTTCTTTGTATGTTTTAAATAAAAACTAGAAAAGAAATATAAATATCCAGAAACATTCCAAATATTTACCATATAAATCCTATATTCCTATCAGGCCTTTTCCTGATATCCACATGAAGAAATGTAGAAATTTTCATTAAGTCCTTAATTCAAAGGATTATTTTTTTTTACTCCTTTATGAACTTTCTTTTAGTATCTAAAATTAGGTTTCTAGTTAAACTAATCATCTGAACTTCCTCTGTATTCACAGAGAGAGGAGCTACTAGAGGATGAATCTGCATATGCATCTTTAATTTAGGATGGCTTGCATACTCCTCTGAAAATATCTATATCTCTACCTTAATAATAGAGGGAGTTTACACAATAGATTTAGACATAAGGTAAATCCTAACTACTAAAAATATACAGGAACACATCAGGAAGTGCACTCCAACAATGACTGCTTATTTCTTAGTTTGTTTTTTTTCTGATTATTCCACTTAGCTTTCTTCTTGAAAATCTGACACAATGAATACTGGCTTTAATCATCATGGATGCCAAACATCTGATATTTGATCTTAAGTCTAGAGATCACTTGGTCCTCTTTTATTTAGCAGTATAGATATAGCCTTACAGGTCTAATTTTCAGGAAGCTAAAATTAAATAGGGCAAAGTAGAAGAGATATAAATCCATTTGTTATTTAATAATATCTGTTTAACATTTTTGAAATGTGCAATATAAGGCTGGTAGATAAAACTGTATCAAGACTCTTTCTTGTGTGAACCCTTTGATCTAGTTTACATTGTAGTCCTAGGAAGGAAAAATGAAGAAAGAAACCAAGAGCTAAGCAAATGATATCTGTGTGTTCTCTTTAAAGA